GCGGCTGCTGCTCTAGGTGCTAGTGAGTCTGCTTCCTCAGGTGCGGGTGAGGCTGCGCTCTCAGGTACCGCGTTGGCTTCGGCCTCCCTCACCTTTACACTTGACTCTGGGGCTTCTCGCTCCTTCTTTCGGGACCGCACCACACTCACGCCGCTTGGTCGGCCGGTTGTAGTCTCCCTGGCTGACCCCTCTGGGGGTCCTGTCCTCGCTCACTTCTCCACTGTCCTCCCGTGTCCTGCTGCCCCCTCGGGCACCCTGTCTGGCCTGTACCTCCCCTCGTTCTCGACGAACTTGGTGAGTGGTGCAGACCTACAGGATGCGGGGGTTCACCAGTTCACTCCTGCGAGTCAGCGGGTGACCCACTGCACAGACGCACGCACACGCCGGCACCTGGCCACGTTCTCGCGTCGGCCGGGGTCGAGCCTCTACACCCTGACCACTGAGTCTCCTCCTGTCCCTGCGTCCGGTCAGGTAGCAGCGTCGGGTCAGGTGTTTGCTGCTGCGTCCAGGTCTGGTCCTGAGTCTGCCCCCTGTACTTGTCGCCTCCTGTCTCACGAGACTCTCCTGTGGCACCACCGTCTTGGCCACCCCTCCTTGCCCCATCTTCGGAGCATGGCTTCCCATGTCCTTGTCTCTGGTCTTCCCCAGTCTCTCCCTCCTCTCCCCTCCGGGCCAGGACCTTCCTGTGTCCCCTGTGTCGAGGGTCGCCTCCGGGCTACTCCTCACTCCTCCCACTTCCCCCCGACAGAGGCTCCCCTGCAGACGCTTCACATGGATGTGTGGGGCCCAGCCCCCGTCCGTGGGCAGGGTTACGAGCGCTACTTCCTGTTGGTGGTTGACGACTACTCGCGTTACACCACAGTCCTCCCCTTGCGCAGCAAGGGTGAGGTCACTGCGGTGCTGATCGACTGGATCCGCGAGGCTCGTCTCCAGCTCAGGCAGAGCTTCGGCTCGGACTTTCCTGTTCTGCGTCTGCACTCGGACAGAGGCGGAGAGTTCTCCTCTGGCCTTCTGCGTGCCTACTGTCGTGCGCGAGGCATCCGCCAGTCCTTCACGCTTCCAGACTCACCATAGCAAAATGGGATTGCTGAGCGCCGCATTGGCATGGTCATGGATGTCGCTCGTACGTCCATGATGCATGCGGCTGCCCCCCATTTTCTGTGGCTGTTTGCGGTGAGGTACGCGGCGCATCAGCTCAACCTTCACCCCCGGGTCTCTCGGCCTGCGATGTCCCCAGCCTTGCTGTGGACAGGGAAGGTTGGCGATGCGTCTGTGTTCCGTGTCTGGGGATCTCGGGCGTTTGTCCGCGACTTGTCTGCGGACAAGCTGTCCCCTCGTGCTGCTCCCTGTGTCTTCCTTGGCTTCCCCACTGACGCCCCAGGGTGGCAGTTTTACCACCCCTCCTCTCGTCGTGTTCTGTCCTCCCAGGACGTCACGTTCGACGAGTCAGTCCCCTTCTACCGTCTCTCCCCCTACCGCACTCCTTCCCTCCCCCCTCCCCCGGACTTCCTTGTACCGGTTTCCCCCCCCGGTAGACCCCCTCCCCCCTCAGGTTCCTGCCCCCTCAGATGTGTCCCAGATAGACGCCGTTGACCCGGTCGAGGTTACAGGTGACTCTGGTGCTGCTGCGGGTGCTGAGCCTGGGGGTGCTGACTCTGGGGGTGCTGTGCGCGGGGGTGCTGAGCTTGGGGGTGCTACTGCTGGGGGTACTGGGCCTGCGGGTGCTACTGCGGAGGGTGCGGAGCATGGGGGTGCTGAGCCGGGGGGTGCTGTGCCTGGAGGTGATGGGTCTGGGGGTGCTGGGTCGGGAGCTGCTGAGCCTGGGGGTGCTGCGTCTGGAGCTGCTGAGCCTGGGGTTTCTCCTGCTGCTGCGTCTCGCCGGGAGCCCCTCTCTCCACAGGAGCTGCGCGAGTGGTACGCTCGCCGCTGGAGGCGTGCTGCTGAGTCTGGAGGTGCTGCTGGAGCTGGAGCTGGAGCTTCTTCGACCGTCGAGGGTGCGGGTGCTGCCGGTCCCGGAGCTGCTGGACCTGCGGGTCCTCCTGGAGCGGGAGGTGCTGAGGGCGTTCGTGCTGAGCCTACTGCTGTTGGTCCTGCCGCTGGAGGTGTGGGTGGCGCTGGTGCTGTCGCTGAGGGTGCTGGTGCTGTCCCTGTTGAGTCTGGAGCTGCCGCGCGGCCTCGGCCGTACTTTGTTCCGCTCCTACAGCAGGTTCTTGGTCTTTCTCCTTCGGTAGAGTGTCCACAGCCTGTCCAGTCGCAGTCACTGTTGGAGCCTTCCTCTCCTCTGCCTGCTCCATCTCCTTACACTGGTCCTACTGGAGGTCTTGCTGAGCGTCGTGAGCCTGCGTCTCGTCCCGCGTCGCCTGTTCGTGCTGCTCGCGCTAGTGGTCGCGGTTCGCGTCAGCGTCCTCCTCCTATCCCTGGCACGCACCGGATGTCTCTGCGTCCGTCCACTGCTCCTCTGCGTGCCCCTTTGCCTTCTCCTCCTGAGTCCTCTCTTCCTGCGCTTGCCGACCCTGAGTCGGACTCTCTTCGCGCTGCCAGTCCTACTGTCACGCGTCTGCTTGCTACTGTCGTCACTGACCCCTCTTTTGAGTCCACTGCTGCGTCTGCTCTAGTCGCTGAGCTCGTTGACATTGCTGGTCGCTGTCGTCTCGACTACGCTGCTGGTCTTGTTGTTGAGTCTGCGTCTGTCTGTCCTCCGTCCGTCGGAGGTGAGTGTGCTCTTGGCACGAACGTCCTAGAGGACAGACAGGAGGAGTTACAGTGTCTAGCGGCTGCTTCACCTCATCTCGCGTCTGTACTGCTTGCCCCTGAGGGAGACCCGGATGCACTAGACATCCCGACTCCGCGTTCTTACGCGGAGGCCGTAGAGGGTCCCTACTCCTCTCAGTGGCAGGCAGCTATGGATGCAGAGATGGCTTCCTGGAAGTCCACAGGCACCTACGTTGACGCAGTTCCCCCTCCTGGGGCGAACATCGTCAGTGGCATGTGGATCTTCCGGGTGAAGCGGCCGTCGGGCTCTCCACCTGTCTTCAAGGCGCGGTACGTTGCTCGTGGCTTCAGTCAGCGGCAGGGAGTTGACTACTTTCAGACCTTCTCTCCCACCCCGAAGATGACCACTCTTCGGGTGCTGCTGCACATAGCCGCTCAGCGCGACTACGAGCTTCACTCTCTCGACTTCAGCACTGCGTTCCTGCAGGGTAGCCTGCACGAGGAGATCTGGCTGCGCCGTCCACCTGGCTTCACTGGGACTTTCCCTCCTGGCACCCAGTGGAGCCTCCAACGGCCAGTCTACGGTCTCCGCCAGGCACCGCGTGAGTGGCACGACACACTGAGGACTACGCTTGCGGCTCTTGGGTTTGCTCCTTCTACTGCTGACCCGTCGCTGTTTCTGCGCATTGACACTTCACTGCCGCCGTTCTACATCCTCGTGTACGTCGACGACTTGGTCTTTGCCACAGCGGACACTGCTGGACTCGCCTACGTGAAGTCCGAACTGCTGAAGAGACACACGTGCACAGACCTGGGTGAACTGCGCAGCTACCTTGGCTTGCAGATCACTCGGGACAGAGCACGCCGCACCATTACCTTGACTCAGTCACACATGGTGCAGCAGGTCCTTCAGCGCTTCGGCTTCACGTACTCCTCGCCTCAGGCCACTCCTCTGCCTACTCGCCACTCACTCTCAGCTCTGCCTTCGGATGAGTCCGTAGAGTCGAGTGGTCCATATGCAGAGCTTGTTGGCTGCCTCATGTACCTGATGACCTGCACACGACCTGACCTTGCATACCCTCTGAGCATTCTTGCACGCTATGTTGCTCCTGGGAGACACAGACCAGAGCACATGGCTGCAGCGAAGAGGGTATTGCGCTACCTGTGCAGTACGTCGGGCATAGGGCTTGTGCTTGGAGGGCGGAGTCCAGTGGTCCTTACCGGCCACGCAAACGCTTCTTGGGCTGACGACCAGGCTACGCAGCGGTCGTCACAGGGTTACACCTTCAGCCTTGGTTCCGGCTCTGTCTCGTGGCGGTCTACTCGCTCGTCTTCGGTTCTCGGCTCTAGTTGTGAGGCTGAGATCTACGCCGGGGCCATGGCTGCACAGGAGCTTCGCTGGCTCACCTACCTGCTGACTGACCTTGGAGAGCCGCCTCGTTCTCCTCCAGTGCTGTACGTAGACAACAAGGCCATGCTGGCCTTGTGTCGAGAGCAGCGCTTGGAGCACAGAACGAAGCACATTGCTCTCCGCTACTTCCTTGCTCGTGAGCTGCAGCAGCGTGGCCAGTTGCGACTTGCGTACGTGGCATCTGAGGCCAACACTGCTGATGTGTTCACCAAGGCACTCGCGCCTTGTGACCATCAGCGCTTTTGCACCCAGCTGGGTCTTGTGTCTGTCTTGCCTCACTTGCTCTCCTCTTGACTTTACTTGTACTGTGACATATATATATACCTGCTCTTGCTTGTCTAGTTTTATATATATGTCTGTACTCCTGCATGTGAACTGGCCTCTGGCCCTGCTCTTGTGCTCGGACTGTGTGGTGACTTTGTGATCCACCCTGAGCTTGCTTTGCTTTGCTTGACTGGTCTTGTGACCCCTTGTTCTCCCCCACTTTGCCTATGGGGGTGTGTCAAACATTATATATGTTATACTTGTGTAGGCTACAGTGGGTTAGCCCATAGGGGGTACACAATTCTAGGGTTTACTACTTGTACTCTTTTCACTTCTAGTTGATCCATTCCTGTTCGCTTATTCTCACAGCAGCCGCATGCATCATGGACGTACGAGCGACATCCATGACCATGCCAATGCGGCGCTCAGCAATCCCATTTTGCTGTGGTGAGTCCGGAAAGCATGAAGGTCTGGCGGATCCCCCATGCACGACAGTAGTCCCGCAGAAGGCGAGAAGAGAACTCTCCGCCTCTGTCCGAGTGCAGACGCAGAACAGGAAAGTCCGAGCCGAAGCTCTTCCTGAGCTGGAGACGAGCCTCGCGGATCCAGTCAATCAGCACCTCAGTGACCGCACCCTTGCTGCGCAAGGCGAGTAGTCGTCAACCACCAACAGGAAGTAGCGCTCGTAACCCTGCCCACGGACGGGGGCTGGGCCCCACACATCCATGTGAAGCGTCTGCAGGGGAGCCTCTGTCGGGGGGGAGTGGGAGGAGTGAGGAGTAGCCCGGAGGCGACCCTCGACACAGGGGACACAGGAAGGTCCTGGCCCGGAGGGGAGAGGAGGGAGAGACTGGGGAAGACCAGAGACAAGGACACGGGAAGCCATGCTCCGAAGACGGGGCAAGGAGGGGTGGCCAAGACGGTGGTGCCACAGGAGAGTCTCGTGAGACAGGAGGCGACAAGAACAGGGGGCAGACTCAGGACCTGACCGGGACGCAGCAGCAAGCACCTGACCCGACGCAGCCACCTGACCAGACGCAGGGACAGGAGGAGACTCAACGGTCAGGGTGTAGAGACTCGACCCGGCCGACGCGAGGAACGTGGCCAGGTGTCGGCCTGTGCGTGCCTCCGTGCAGTGGGTCACCCGCTGACTCGCAGGAGTGAACTGGTGAACCCCCACATCCTGCAAGTCCGCTCCACTCACCAAGTTCGTAGAGAATGACGGAAGGTACAGACCAGACAGGGTGCCCGAAGGGGCAGCCGGACACGGGAGGACAGTGGAGAAGTGAGACAGGACAAGACCCCCAGAGGGGTCAGCAAGGGAGACCGCAACCGGCCGGCCGAGCGGCGTAAGGGTAGTGCGGTCTCGAAAGAAGGAGCGAGAAGCCCCGGAGTCAAGTGTGAAAGTGAGGGAGGACGAGGACGACGCAAGTACCTGAGAGCGCAGTCTCACCAGTACCTGAGAGCACAGACGCACTGGCACCTAGAGCAGCAGCCTCACAAGCACCTAGCGCAGCAGTACCAATGCCCGGGTCGGGCTGGAAACACCGGTAACCCTCATTCTCCTCACTATAATCCACAGCATACATAGCAGCAAGGATAGCATCAAAATCAAGATCAAAGATCGCTACACCAGCCCTTAGAAGCTCATCCCAGCGAGGGATCTCACTAGCCCCAGGGAACTGCTGACGCCAAGCGTCCGTCAGGCGGCCAAAGCAGCGCTGGGTGGCGTGGGCACCCCCACACGGCTCACCCGCGCGGTCGCTGGAACGAAGAACGTAGGTGCAGGGACCAGTACCCCCACCCCTCTGACGCCCAGCGTACCACTCACGAAGCTGCTGAGGCGGAGGGATGTCCCGCGAGCGCTGCTGCTGCTGCCGCTGCGAGCGCTGGCCACCACCACCGCCGCTACGCTGTTGGGTACCACCCCGACCAGCTCCACCTCCTCCACCACCACCGCCTCCTCCGCTGCCGCCTCCACCGCCTCCACCTCCGCCGCCTCCACCTCCGCCGCTGCCTCCTCCACCACCGCTGCCACCACCACCACCGTCTGAAGGAGAGAACCCCTCAAAGATGGGGGTGCGAGGGTCACCACGAGAAGCACCTACAGCGACTATGCTCTTCTCCGCTGCGAGGAGGGCCTTCTCGAGGAGGTCGACGGTGAGGGTGGTGGGACAGACTGCGAGAAAGTGGTCCCTGACGACGCGAAGGGAGTCAGGGAGGCGCGCGACTACGTAGTAGAGAGCGATGTACATGGGGGGTGGGTTCTTAGCGCAGAACTCAGCAGGAAGGGCGGCGCGGTAGCGAGTGTCACTAGTGCGGAGGTGCGTAATGAGGTCAGCAACAGTGGGAAAGGCAGAGAGGTCAGGAAAGAGGTAGGGAAGCATGAGACGGCTCAGTGCAGCAGTGGCAGGGGAGGAGTAGCGCGCAACTACACGCGTCGTACAAGGTCTGAGCACTCTTGTACTGACTAAAGTGCGCACGCTCAGAGGTAGGGAGGTGGCGACGCACAGCAAGACGTGCAGCAGCATCGCGGGTGGCCCACTGAGAGCGGACAGTGGGATCAGCATCAGCAGCAGGAGCAGGAGAGGCGCCAGAGGTGAGGTCAAAGAGAGAAAGGTTGTCAGCCCTGTCGCACTGTAAGAACAGCTGCAGGTCGTCTAACCAGACCTCAAAATCAATGGCGCGACCTTCAGCGTCAAAAGCTAGGACACTAGGGGTAGCCATGGCGACGACAGCGACGCAGTGCAAAGCAGGTAGGGAAAGAGCTCGCAGTGTCAGTGGGACTGTGCTCACCAGGCAGGGCAGGTCGTGCAGCTCTGCAGAAAGGCGGCTCAGCGACCGGTCGGCGGCTTCGGGTGCACAGCGGCTCGGCTCCCGGGCGGCTCGGCGGCTGGGCGGCTCGGGCGCAGGGCGGCTCGGCTCCCGGGCGGCTCGGCGGCAGGGCGGCTCGGGTGCAGGGCGGCTCGGCTCCCGGGCGGCTCGGCGGCAGGGCGGCTCGGGTCCCGGGCGGCTCGGCGTTGGGCGGCTCGGCTCCCGGGCGGTTCGGCTGCTGGGGCGGCTCTGCTGCTGGGGCGGCTCGGCCGGGAGATGCAGGGGCGGGGCCGTCAGGTGCAGCGGCGGGTCGACCGTTGCAGCGGCGGGCCCGCAGGTGCAGCGGCGGGGCCGTAGGGTGCAGCGGCGGGCCGACCAGGTGGGGCGGCGAGACGTAGGGTGCAGCGGCGGGCCGTAGGGTGCAGCGGCGGGCCGGCAGTGCAGCGGCGGGGCCGTCAGGTGAAGCGGCGGGCCGCTGGGTGCAGCGGCGGGCC